TATGTGTAGACAGTCGTATGTGAAGTAACCGTTCATGTATACAGGCATTCGTATGTGTTCGTGAGTAATAATGTAATTCGTGTAGTTTTTACTCACTGTTTCCGGGTGCCTGACGGCGACCCGGAAGTGCTGCAAAAGTACCGGGAATATGGAGAAAAAAGGGTGTCCCAGTAGATGCGGCCGGTGAGAGCGTATTTCCCTGGGGTCGAGGGAGTGCTGGAAGCCTGGAAGAAACGCTGGAAGAAACGCTGGAAGGCCCCAAGCAGACCACGAGGTAGACTGTCTCTGGAAACCGGAAGCGGAAGTGGCCAGCCGACGACAGCCCAGTAAAGAGGTAGGTTTGAGTATATATAGGCCGGTCAACCCCCTCCCACATCTCCAGGCTCTGCCTTTCTATATATATATATATATATGTTTATTCCTTTTCCTATTTTTTATTCAGCCCATCTACCTAGGTATATACTTGGTGGGTACCATAACACCCAAGCTGATATAATTGAGCAAAAGGTGCTCTTGAAATTGTGAGTAGATTTTATATATATATTTTTTAAAGTACTATTGTTTAAAACAGTGAGCACTATATCTCGTTAAATTCCTTTCATATGCTTTTCATATGTGAGTATCAAAAGAGGACAGCTCCAGAGTTACACTCAGAGTGTATTTTATCTTAATTTTACATAAGACATTGTATATACTGGACTACACTATTGGTGGTTTCTTTCGTGTTTTATTTAATATGAGACACCAACAACATAATTCCTCATCTGCACTAAAGTTTTGTCTACTTGAACACTAAAGAGGATAACAGACTGACCTCCAAAAAAGAACTATCTTTAAAAGGTTCTTATCTCCAAAAATACTTGTTGGGACTCTTTAATATTGTTATATCTCAATTTTGTAATATATAATATTGTGTATATATATATATATATATATATATATATATATATATATATATATATCTGTATATGATTAACTAGTATTTCTTATTTTGCACAGTCTGTTTTTTTCTGTATGTTTTCCTCTTGGGTTATTAAGGTATCCAAGTAACATACCTTAATTTGCTGCCTTTTGAGTTAGAATTAAAATAAAATTGGGTTGTGGCATAGTGGGTACTATACATTGTGGGTTGGCACCTTGTGAATTAGCTCCTTCAGTACATAATCATAGGCACTGCTTTTCCTGATCTCTTCCTCTTATTGTCTGTTTAAGTGGATTTGTACCTTATAAAGTTATTAATTTCAGCTTTGCTTCTCATCATTTCTCAGTATTAAAATATATTTCATATTTGTTTGGTTATTAAAATAATGTGAACGGGTTTCATTTGTAATAGCAACATATCATATATTTAATAAATAGCAATCAGCAATAAAAAGAGTTGTAACCACAATCATAAATAGTTACCCGACAGTGTCTACTTCTTAACTGCCTTACTGTAACTTAATAAACGCTGAGCCAGGTAATATATTTTTAGACACTAGTTTTACTATAAACATGGAGCAACAAAGGGCAATGCAACAGTGATGTTAAAAATTCAAGACCAGGCTTAGCTTAGCTTTTCCTTTTAAGTCAACGTCCAGCCATAACCTTATTTTATGTTGACACAGTGCTGTTCTATGGCAAGAATAATCCAATAAATATGTCAGCAAAATGTCATATAAACCCAAGAAAAGATAAAAAGCTGTAGTACTTGTGTATATCTGCTAAAAAGAGATCAGGGTATAACACTGTTCCTGTCACACTGGATAAATTGTCATATGGAAATAGATTTTCTAATGTGCCAAATAAATGTGGTTTTAGCTTTGCAAATATTCTGAAGGGCACTAGCATTACCCCTGTTCTGGACGGAAAAATTATCTTTTAACAGCTATATTGCTTTTCTATATCTTGGAGAAACAGGCCATTTTTTTTATTTTATTATCTGAAAATGAGAGCCAAAAAATACAGTCGACGTTGAAATGTTTATATTATTCAAAACATATTTCCTGGTTCGAATGCAATGTTGCCAATGCTTGTCTGTATCCACTGACAGTGAGGGAAAGGTGCCAGGCAGAAAAGAGTTCTGACAATGACAGCTAGGCAAGACTAAGCTTTGACCTACAAAGTACAAAAGAACAGAGCTTCAATTTTAATGAATGCTAGGAATGGCAGAGCACAGTGAATAATAACAAAAGCTAACATCTCTGTTTTTGAGGTTAGATTTCACTACATCCTGCACTAGCTACATCCTTTTATTTCAGATTAAATTCCAGTGGGAGCTATGTACTAACTCGTGTCACGTTGCTATTACAGGCATGGCAGCGCTTTTGTCCTAACACAATTTATTTGGACACTTAGGCCAGCTTACAATACACACAGCCTGTTTTGACAAGCTATCATGCACTTCAAATTAAACAAAAAATGATCAAAAAAATGGTCCAGCTGTCCAATAAAAATAATATACAATGGTAAGTCCATGGCATGTTTGGCTAACTGTGACCACGTTACATTTTATTATCATCTCTCAGTCTTTTTTTTCTAACAATATTGTAAAAAACAAAGTCATTGTACAACTAAATGATGCTGTACAAAAACATATTAAAGACAGGAAAAAATAACCACAACAGATACGGGATGTCTGAAATATTGTGTTTTCATAACTGTTCCAGAATTCAATGCAAATATGCAAATAAGCACAATTTATTTTTTAATCCTTAATCTTTTTTCGTTTTTTACATTTTACTCTGCTCTTCTAAAAGCTCTTGTGCACAGATAAGCTGTTTCATAACACATTTTTAATAGTAGATAAGTCAGAGTATGTATGAACCAATACATGGCCATGGGTAACCTTATATCCAATTTAAATGCTCATAATCATTGTTAACTTTGCTTACAGTATATAATCATGAATTTAAGTCGGTCTGTTGCAGAAATTTTAAAGTGAATTGTCACAAAATACAATGTTTTGGCCCAATGGCTTTAATCATGTACACATACATAGGAGAAAAGGGAGGAAACCGCGCCTTACATAAATTATATATACATACACTTGATGTCTCTTAGTAGTTTCGGATAATTTATCCTCAAAAAGAAAACAGAAAGAGTATATACAATAGTGTAGTATGTTAAATAATATTAGGAAAAAGTGATAAATAAAACGGAGGTATTTTTCACTCACATTTGGTAGAGCTACTGTGGGAGCTCTACCATAATTGGCATGGACGGTAAATCCCCGTCTTAGGATAAGAAGTCCAACGTCTTAGGTACTCCAATGGTGTAGTAGTGCAGATAAAAATGGAAAACAAGAAACTCCAATAGTGTAATAGTTCCAACTCCAAGTATAAATGGATAAATAGAAATATATATACTCACATTTACTAGAGCAGAAAACTTGCTCTAGTTTATAAGGCTTGCAGTGGTATAATCCCCACTGTAGGATATACAGGCCAGGAAGTAAGATGGTGCAAATAAAATATAATAAAATGGAATATAGCTTTAAAAGATATATATTTAATAATGTATCAAACAGAATAAAATAAAAGCTATATAAAATAACACTTAACGCGTTTCGCCAATGGCTTCATCAGAAGTGTAAAAAACATACATCAAAAAACTTCCTTTAAATATGTAACTTACATAGTGAACATGATTGATAATGTCATCCTGGTGTGCCTCGGACAAACAGACCGCTCGTGGGCAGAGACCGGAAATAGTGCGGCGACCACGTGGGTGTAAGTAGCCAGCGTGGAACGCACGCGTCCAAACCGGAAGCGACGCGGCGTTCGCGTGTGTAGCCTTATTCACCGCGAGACGCACGCGTCGCGCCGGAAATGGCGCGGCACTCACATAGTAAAAATGTAGACTTGCGTTCCACCATGTACACATACATGATTAGGTAATTTGGCCAAAAAGTTGTGTTTTGTTGTGCCCACTGCCTAAATAAATTTCAATTTGCATCCTATCTGCTGAACCCATAGGTTATGCTTTATACCTACTGAGAGGTTGCAGGCCTCTACTACGGAGTACTGGGAGGTACATTTGTTTCTATACCTCTTTCCCAAGAGTGCCACACCATTTCAACTTTGGTATTTACACCACTGAATACAACATTGAAAACCACCTATAACTTGTTATATGCTTAATTTCATGAGATGCTCTAATTTCTTTTAGATTTATTTTACAGATTTAGCAAATTAAATGATATCATATTCTAGTTTTGAAAAGGCAAAGCCGGGGCAAACAATGTTAATGAAGAGGTGAAATAACATTGCTTAATTTCTTCACTTGTTTTCTCCATGCTGACTGCAAGTTGCAAAGGACAGAGTTTATGACAATGGTTGACAGGTAGTTAAGATGAATGCACCCAGTACAACATACAAAGGTGTATCAGCATTGTGAATCATCTTAATCGGCCGTGGGGGACAAGCGATGACATAAGCACGCACGCGCAGTTGCGTCCCACGGGTGAGCTTGGGAAGGGGACGAGCGGACACAATCTCGAATGACTCGTGGTGGCATGAATGAGGCACTAATGAGGATGATCTCATAAACTAAGGAGCCAGAGAGTCGGAGAGTGAGCTGAAGGGAGTTAGACTAAGAACGGTGTGGAAGTCAATACAAAAAAACTACACAGAGCTGATTAATTATCAATGGGGAAATCGTGACAAGCACCTCCCAACCCCAGGACGCAATGAGTTTTTTCAGTAAAGTGCAACAGAAGCATAAATGAAGACTGCTTAAAAGTGGGAAATAAAAAATGGAAACTTAAAGGAAAGGGGGTAAAAAAGGAGAAAAAGGAAAAATGGTGGAAAGAAAGGGAAAGGAGAAGGAAGGAAGGAAAGGAGAAAGGAAAAGGGAATACTTTGCCTGCATGATTGGGAGGAGAAAGTGTGGCCTCTGGATAAGCCATATTTAAATCTGATCCATTTGAAGCTACCTGGTTAAATCTATAGTGAAAATAAACCCCATTATTAATATACCCTCTAAAATAAAATGATCAAATAAGAGAAGGAGTAACTATAATGGCTACAAAAAAAGACCGTAAAGCGGGTTCTAAAAAAGAAAAGAAAAATTATAAATCAGACAAAAGCCTGTCAAACATTTTTCCCCCACAATCAGATATGCTAGGAAACAAAAGGATCTCTGGCGATTTCACTTTAAATTCTAACTCCTCAAAAGATATTGATAACACAAAAGATAGTGCAGACTCATCATGGTCCAAAATACAAAATATTCCTCCAGACCTTTTAAAAGCTGCTCTTGACTCTCCGTTTCTGAAATTTAAAGAAGCAATGAACATAAACACAACGGAATTGAAACATGATTTAAGAAAACTAGGAGAAAGACTCAAGAAATCTGAAGAGCTTATGGAAAATCTCACATTGCAACTAAATATTCAGAATGACCAAATTAAATCCTTAGAAAAACAGATGGAAGAGATCGAAGCAAAACCAGTGGAAATGGAGGGTAGAGCTAGACGCTGTAATATAAGGATTAGAGGCAATCCAGAACATGTGATGCAAATTGATTTGAAAAAATACTTGACAGAATTTCTCACGTTCTTAGAATTACCCCCGAACAAAGAAGTTAACTTTCTAGAACAATTTCATCGTGTTCCCACAGTTGTAAATCGAAATATCAATATTCCAAGAGACGTTCTGATATGCTGCCACACTTAGAAATTATGAAAGCAATGCCTGAAATTATTTTAAAAGGATCCCTATACGAACAAATAAAGGATTTTCCAGATTTGTCGTTCCATACAAGATCCCTGCGGAAAACGTTTAATCCATATACATGGATATTGAGAAAATTGAACATCAAATATGCTTGGAGATTTCAATCTGGAATCACCCTACACTATGAAGGGAAAAGAGGGTCCTTCGATACAGCAACAAAATTGAAAACTTGGATGCAAGATAAGAATCTAGAAGTTTCAAAGTCAGGAGAGAAGGTCTGCAGACAAAGAAAATCTAAGTCAAGAACAACAGAAGAAGACTAGAGAATTGGTTTTCTACTTGTTTTTTCTTTTATAACTTGACGTATACTTTTAATATAATTGGATATCCATAGTTGATTATTGCAGTTTATCAAGTTGATAGTGTATTTAGTGTTATGGTAATATAGTTTATATTATTACACTATTATTCTATGCACTTTAAATGTATAATGCACTTTTTGGATTGATTGTTTGCACTTTAAAAAGTCAGTGCACTTTAGTATTTTGCACTTACTTGCACACTGCAGATAAGAACAAGAGAATATACTATTAATACTATAGATTTACTAAAGACATAGATTACATTTTTGAGTAACCTCACACAAAGTTTTAGGAAAAATATAACAAGAATGTAATATATAAGGGTGAAATACAATCTAGCCATTTCCACCAGAACATACCAGACTATATTCTTATCGCTTGCTCTCGAGTACCCCCTCACCCAACAACCTTAGCCTAACCCCCTTTAACTCAGTAGGAACATTAATTCTATTGACCTCCAGCAGCTGTCACCTGAAATTGATTCACAACTGCTATCCATCCCTTCCCTCTCCTGTCCCTCACTGGCCATCTCCACATATAGCACTACCCTCACTTCTGCCTTGAACGCTGCAGCCCTGCTCCAAACATGCACCTTGAGGAGGACACACCCCCAACCTTGGCATACTAAATCAACACGCTATCTGCAGAGTTGCTCCCGTTGTGCTGAACGCTCCTGGAGGAAGTCCAGCACCCAGGCAGACTATCTTCATTATAGACTCATATTGTGTTCATACAGTGCAGCCCTTGCCCTCATACTTTTCCTCTCTCATTAGTTCATGCTCCCACAATCCCAGACGTCTCTTTGACACTTTTTTTTTTTTTTTTTTTTTTTTTTTTAGGGCAGTGTTAAGTACATGCTCAAAATATGACATAGGCATTTAACATAAAGTATAAGCACAAGTATATGCTAAAAAGGTCAAGATGTTGTGCGCTTTTTTTTTTTTTTTTTTGTGTGATGTACAAGTAAGATTATACATGCAGAAAAAACAAATGTCGCTGAGTAGTTGATTTAAACAAGATAAAAAGGTTTCTAACTATATGTTGCTCTTCACAGGCTGAGGGTATATGTCTAACTTACGCAGTACTATAGTATAAGTGCTGAGACGCTATGAATAAATTTTTGCTTATCGTGTGTGAACGCCCCAGGACACCACCGCAGGTGGTTAACTACCAGTACCCCAATTGATGTTTAATGTGTTTCCCATGTAATAAGGCTGAAGGTGCTACTAGGAAATGTGACCACATAGAGTCCATGTTTATGGAGGCAGAAGGCTGGAGAGTTCCCAGTTGGCATAATGGTTGTCTCATCTAATATCCTCCGACTGTGAGGACCATCTTATCGATTTAGCCATCAATCCCCGCGGCGCTGCGATGAACGTGCTGAGGGCCAGATCCAGGAGAGGGAGCGTTGCTGTGCACCGGTTGCCTGCCGCCTGGACCAGCCTGAAGGTATATCTGCTGGGTCCGGTTAGTGTGAGCTGGATCAAAGCGGTTTGCGGCTGCTCACCTCCTCCCCAGCATCCATTTCGCGTGTTGCGCCACTCTTTTTGGGAATATTAGTCGGGCTGGTGGTGATGCGGTGAGTATTTGTGTTCCGTCGGCCTGGTTGCCCTCTGCATGTATTTAGGGCCCACCTGGGATTTGCGGTAGTTGTGTAGCAGCTAGCAGTTTCCTTGGTGCAAGTTGGTGAGTGTGTTACTGACGCCATTTTAGACGTGGCTTGCGGCCTGGGCTGTGGGGTCTCATGATCTCCTCCGCGGTAGTGGCCACAGGGCGTGGGCCGGGATCACCCCCGCCGGCCCAAAGGGGGGGGAACGGGGCCCGGTACATAGAGTTATTATAGTGAGTCCAGCTTTATACCACTGTGCAGGATAGCGGGGCAGGGGCCGTCCGCCCCGCTCACCGCCCGAGTAGGCCTCATCCAGTGAGAACAGTGTGTATCTCCCCGAGGGACTAAAACAGTTGCTGCTAGCCTCTCCTCAGGACCGGAGCTCCCATGGGTGTAAGTCCATAACTTTTGGTCGTCAAGCGTGTTCAGAAGTTACTCTTTTAGGCTTAAAAAGTCAGAAAGTCGTTGGAGCTGTTGTTTCGTGCGACCATGCAGCATGGCGGTCAGGCCCCGCCCCCTCTCTTTGACACTTTTAACTCTCTTCTCTGCCCTGCTGTGGCCACCCCCCAAACTGACCTTACAGTCGATAGCTTTGCATGCTACTTTACCGACAAGATTGAACAGCTAAGGAAAGAATTCTCTCCACCCTGCCATTCTCTTTCTCAACCACACACATATCATGCCTTTCCCCAGCTACTGAACAAGAGATGGCTGCACTCCTCCTTTCCTCTCGCCCCACCACTTGCCCGCTCAATCCTGTCCCATCTCACGTCATCAGATCTCTCTCCCCTTGTCTTGTGCCTTCCTTAACACACATCTTCAACTGCTTTCTCTCTTCTGGCATTGTCCCTGCTGACCTTAAACATGCCACTGTAGTACCTATCCTGAAAAAAACATCTCTTGACCCATCCTCCCCTTCTAACTATCGTCCCATATCCCTGCTCTCTTTTTCCTCAAAGCTTCTGGAAAGACTTGTCTTTACCCGTGTGTCTCGTTTCCTCAATTCAAACTCTCTCCTTGATCCTCTTCAGTCTGGCTTCCGCCCTCTCCACTCTACTGAGACTGCTCTCATCAAAGTTACTAATGAACTAATCGCAGCTAAATCCAAAGGCCACTACTCCATATTAATTCTTCTTGACCTCTCTGCTGCCTTTGACACCATTGATCATGCTCTCCTTCAATCGCTCAGTCTCTGTGACATTGTCCTCTCATGGTTTTCCTCTTATCTCTCCTAACGCTCATTCAGTGTCTCCTTTTCCAAGGATACCTCCTCCCCTCGTCCTGTCTTGGTTGGAGTCCCCCAAGGCTCTATCCTTGGTCCCCTTCTATTTTCTCTTTACACTGCCTCTCTTGGCAAACGTATTGCCTCTTTTGGATTCCACTACCACCTGTACGCTGATGACACCCAAAAATATCTCTCCTCCCCAGACCTCCCCCCTGCCATCCTGCAACATGTCACTGCTTGCCTTTCTTCCATCTATGACTGGATGTCCTCCCGCTTTCTGAAATGCAATCTCTCTAAAACTGAACTCCTTGTCTTTCCTCCTCCTACTACTGATCCTCCTCTCTCGCTCTCCCTTCCAGTCAGTGGTATCCACATAAGTCCATCCTTGCAAGCACGCTGTCTTGGCGTCATACTTGACTCTGGCATCACCTCCAGTTTGTTGGCAAATCCTGTAGATTCCACCTTAAAAACATAGCCCGCATCTGCCCCTTTCTCACAAAAGATGCTACCAAGGAGCTTGTCCATGCTCTAGTAATTTCCCGCATGGATTATTGTAACCCTCTCCTGATTGGTCTTTCCAAAAGCCGCATCGCCCCCTACAGTCTGTAATGAATGCTGCTGCCAGACTGATTTTCCTCTCTAGTTGGCCCTTCCACACCTTACCCCTCCGTCAGTCCTTACATTTACTTCCTGTATCCTATAGGAGTCAATTCAAAGTGCTAACCCATACATGTAAAGCACTGAACAATTCTAGCCCCTCTTATATCTCTTCACAGATCCATAGGTATCCGCCTCCTCGTTCCCTCTGCTCTGACCATTACCACCTCCTGACCGATGCTTGCACCCGTACGGTCAATTCGCGCTTTCAGGACTTCTTGCGGGTGGCTCCCTTCCTATGGAATAGCCTGCCTACCCCCATCAGACTCTCCCCTAGTCTTCAATCCTTTAAGAAGTGCCTTAAAACCCATCACGTTAGGAAAGCTTGTGGCCTCCCACAGTAATCTCTACCTTACACACCTCTCTCTCTCTCCTATAGGGCAGCACTTTACTCTCTCCTCCAGCTCTGTTTCACTCCCACCTTATTTGATTGCTATTTCCTGTCCCAAGTATTTTATACCCCACCTCCTATAGACTGTAAGCTCGTTTGAGCAGGAATTTGTTGGCACTATATAAATGGCAATAATAATAATAATAAAAACATGTCCTTTTTTTTTTGAGCCTAAATAGCCTAACAAATCTGTCTAATAATATTCACGATAAAAAATCAGAAATAACTAAAATTAACGATTTGTTCAACAACAAAGAAATAAAGCCTTTCGAGTTATTATGTAAAGAAAACAACTTGCCTAATAAGGAGTTTTTTACTTATCTAAGATTAAAGGTATATTTGAAAAAAACATCTCCTGGTAAATAGCTCTAAAATTCATAAGAATCTAGAAACTCTGCTAGAACAAGCGGATATGAAACATATGATATCAAAATCTGTAAAGTTATTAAGAGAGTGTAAACATGAAGTATCCTTTTTGGCTATTAAAAATGGGAAGGAGACTTATCTCTAGTAATCTCTAATGAGAGCTGGTTGGGATCTTTTAGAAAGGTACAAAGAGCAATCCATTGTTTGAATTTGTTTGAAACTCTTTACAAATTCAAACTAAGATGTAAACCAGGGGTTTATCTTTTGGATACAGATCCCCAAGAATGGCCGACACATATAAGACACATAATTATTCATATTCTGGTAGCAGCAAAATTAATAATAACAAGGTAATGGAGATCTTTACTTACTCCCACCTGGCCCATGCTT